CAACTGCTTCAGGCACATTTTCTAAATGAAGTTTCTCCAAGGAGTTGAAAGTGAAATGAATGCTAGAAATTGTAGAGGAATTCAGACAACAATAAATAAAAAACAGCATGTGTGGGGACAGGAGGTGACTCATAGGGCAAATATATTGCCCCCCAAATTCAATGGCAAGAATTCTTAGTACATTTTAATATAAATGTGGAAACAGTTTTACTTTCCATGAAGATAATGTAGAAAGCATTAATAAGCTAAAGTACACAAAACTGCATGCGAAAGCTTGATTAACAAACTGCCCACAGAGCTCTTATTTGCCTCAGTGTGTTTAAAGATGCTTGAAGGTTGTAAATCTCTGACCCTCATTTTCATTATTGATTAGTAAGAAAACCACCCTTGTTTTAAACTAATAAAAACAAAGGTTTCTCTTTACTTTAGAGCAGGTATCATATTGAGTAGTTAATTTTTCACTTTTGTAAATGTGTTCCTCACCATTTCTTACTTACTTTACATTTATTTTAAGAAAAGAGGTAAAGTCACCACATAATGCTGAGAAATCTTGGTTTTGACCTTTCACCTTTAGTTTCCCTCTACTTTATGGTTAAAATTAATTCCATCAGCAATATAGGAAGACACCTCTCAAAAGCATGAACATATTTTTCCTTCTCCTTATTCTTTAGTGCCTCTTTCAAGGGAGAAAGTCTGGGATTGAATTGGGGGAGGGTCTGTGGACAATACGATTAAAATGTGTTTTATTGACTGAAATGATTGTTTAAAAGAGATCCAAACTAACATCCTCATGAAGAAAATCTGAGATTAACTACCCTAATTATGTCTTGTCATAGAAACATGGAAACATGAAAAGGACTTAAAGGCTATTTTTAATTTTGGGTTATAGGAAAATAGGTGTGTGTGTGTGTGTGTGTGTACATATATACATATGTCACTATATATCACTATATATGTGTGTGTCACTATATATGTGTGTGTGTGTGTGTGTTTATACACATAGGGCCAATGCTTCCTATGCTGAGTGGACAGTGTTTTCAGTAAAATTTTCTGATATGACAAGAGTGTCAAATTAATAAATGGTTGATTTTATCCTCATATAACATCTGTATGGATAAGAATGAAATTGTGAACTTAAATAGAAATTTTTTAGTGGCAATTCTAGAAAATAGTTTGTTTTTATGATAAATATTTTTTACCATAATATTAAGTAGTCAAGATGAAAAAAATTTTAATATTAGAAAACTAATTGAAAAACTTTTAACCAATCACAACAGGGGTAAGGTCTTATCCTGTTATCAAATATATCAAAATTCATGAATAAATTATTCATTAGAGTCCATTTGCAACTACCAATCTTTTTCCAGCCCTCGCTAATGCCTATAATCAAGGAGTAACTGAAATTTATTTTCTTTTCATTTAATCAGTGTGCTTTTGAAACAGACAGGTTGTGTTCTCTGCCATTTACAAACTCCAGGATTTAATTTAGAATTCAATAATTGAATGAGATAGTACAATAACCTTTTATATAAATTCATCATTTCTTATCTTTCCCAAAGCACAAAATGTCCTGAATGTCATAATCACTACTGTTTACTTTCTGGAAGGTTTTTGTTTAAATTTCTATAATTCACCTAGGATTGTAAATCCACCTTCAAAATGCAGTAGAACAGTGTACTACTCCAGGCCTCTTAAGAGCTCTAGTTGCTATTTTGAGACTTTCATGACAACTTCATGCCTTATGCTATAGGAACCTGAGTAACTATAATATCCCAAGGAGCTTGGGCATATCACTGTCATTTTTCTCCTGCTTTTTTGAAAAGTTGTGACTTTTAAGTTTGGATTTCCGAATTCATTTATCTCCTTGGAGGCTTCCCTTCTTCCTCTCCTCCTTTCATCCCTCCCTGTCTCCTTCTTTTCTTCTTTGCCTCGCCTCTGCCCTCCCTTTCCCTACCCTTTGTTTTCAGAATTCATAGTATTCTTTGTCCTATTTTGTGGACTATATGATTTTGTGGACTGTATGATTATAAAGTCAACAGATGAAAAACATAATCAATGAAACGATAATTTTTTCACCAAGTTTTCTAAAGAAGAGGAAATGCTGCTGCTGTGGACTGATGGTATAGTCAAAGTAGCTGTCTCCTGACAGCTACTTTGGATAAATGAGCACTGTATCCAGTAAGAACTCTAGAGCAGATTCGAATTGGCAGAGGAGAATCGGGCCTGGTTCTCCACTGGCCAGGGCCATATAGCCACAACCCTGGTGTTCTATAACAGCTTTACAAACTGTTTTCTCTTTGAGCATTCCTCCCTCCAACACCACAACCCAACCAGTTTTTGCTTTGTGGTTCTTTCTCACATTTTAGCTTCTCATTAACTGTCCTTCCTTTCTCTGCCTCAGCTTCCTCCTCTGCTTGCCTGTTTCTGTAGAAAATATAGGAGTTTCATGGTCACAGTTCTTGAAATGATCTGACTAGGTTGGTTGGATAATATTTAATAGAGTGCTACTATTTGGGGACAATCACCTTACAGCCTATATGTCTATCTCCATTTCCCAAAAAAATGCTATTGGTTTTGAAGTGAGAGAATTATTCTTTATGAAAATCTGTCCTATACATTGTGGGATATTCACATCCTGGTCAAAATGTCAATGTACCTATTCCTTTGGGGCAAGATGAAAATGAAAACTATCCTTTACCCAACTTCCAGAAAATTCTTGACATGTGTAACCACTAGAGCCTCATGAATCCTTTCTTCTCAAATCAGACAGTTTATATCCCTAACCTCCAATATCCCAGGTTACTGGAGGTTAACTGGAGTAATCTTTGTGAAAATTCTTTCTAACCCAATAGTATTCTCAGGAATATATAACTGAAGAAAGTTACATATTACTATTATTATTATATATTCTTTTTGTCATGTCACTATATGGAGAGAAGAAGATAAACCAGATCCAATCTGATCTGAGATTCTGTTTAGATGGTAAAACTCAATCAATAGCATCCTAAGAATTGAATTACAAACCTAGCATTTTTTATTTTTAATTTTTCATTTGAAGTATGTATTAGCTTAAACAGGTCACTTCTTTATAAATGATACTTCACAAATTCTAAGATTACTTGACATATACCTTATATACTTAAAAAAAAAAAAAAGACCAAATACTAAATAACTAGGCAAGGTCTTTAACTATGTCGAAATAATGTAAAGAAAAGCAGAACTTGCCTTGGACAATCAAGTCTGACGTTCAAGAAGAAACACTTCAATGACGAGTGTACCAGAAAGGTGTTAAATGTCGCAAGCTCCTAAGTAAAAGGCAAAATGTGGTTACACTTTATTCATACAGGAATGACATTGTTTTTCTAGGATCATTTGGAAATGCGGGAGATGTTTATTTTCATGAAGAGAGTCAAATAGGAGATAGTGTTTTGATATTTCGCCTTTGAGGAACAAGCATACAAAATCTTGTGTAATCTGCAGACTGGTACTGCAAAAATCAAAGAACTGCTTGTATTGAGAAATATTGTGATGCATCTAATAAATTCCTACCCCATTGTTTGGGGCAGTGGGGCAAAGAGCTTCTTGAAATCAAAATATCACCTTGTTATCACCAGATACAAAAAAACCCCAAGGACACTGCTCCCCATTTCAGATGAGTTTTCTCCATCTACAAAGGAGGAAAACAATCAACTATTTACACTGCAATGCTTTACATCCAGTCAGAACCACTACAGACACTTCCTCTTTTGTATTCCTTATATCTCATCAGTCACCAATCTTTCATGTATTTATGAAATGCTGTTCAAGTTCCTTTGAAATGATACTCATGTTCTTTCTTCCTCTCCTACTTACATTAACAGGCAGCTTCTGTGTTTATTTCCTAGACTTCTGCATGAAACAGTCTCCCAGTTAGGTTATTTCCTCTCCTCCATAATACAACTCTGCTCTTTGCTTGTGCAAATGTCCTCTAAGAATTACTTTCTGTCCATTGCCTCTTACTCAAAATTCTTCAATGAGCTTTTACTATTACATCAGCTGTCATCATTACGTCAACATTTATTAAAGTTATGGATAGTGTCTTCATTTTTACATGGTCATTTTCATCTTTTCATGTTTGATTTTTCAGTGTGCCTGACAAATAAGAGATGCTGAATATGCTGACTAGATATTTAATTACTAGACAATGGGAGTTTTGCTCTTAACTTTCAAGATTTATGTCTAAACATTCTTAAAACTGTTTTGTTAACTACATCAGTCCCCTGTCATTCCTCTGCATAATTTTACAAATATTATTATAGAAAAAAGTAAAGTATGGAGTTACAGATGTAAAAGTTTTCACCTCAATTATCTTAAAGATTAAATTCTACTGAAAATACCACTGAGAAATTGTAGCAACAATCCCAAGTAAATCCAAAGTTAATGTTTATTGTTTGCTGAAAATATTCCACAATCTGTCATTACCAAATTACATCATGATGTATAATGACTATTTGAGGCTTGTAGGTCTACTTATAATATATCCAGGGCTTATGGTATAACCTAGTCCTTAATACAAATAATGAGGAATGTTATACGAATAAGCCTGTGAGTTCATGGAAGTTTCTATGATAGGTGATGAGTCTTACAACAGATCTTTCAGCCAAGACATACAAAAAAGAAACAGCTAAATAGATGGTATATCAAATTGTATTAATTTATATGAAACTAATCATTCACTTTTGAGTGTCATTTCATCCACATGGTCCCTGTTCACTCATTCACTCTTAGTTTATAAACAAAATACTACATTAGAGACTGTTTCCAAATCTGTAGAAATGCAAACTGTCTATAAGATAAAATTTCTTTATGTGTAAAGCTCTGATATACAAATGTTCTAAAATTATGTTTTGACCAAATAGCTTTATTCTTTAGTTTGATATTCAAAGGATCCTTTGCCTGCAAATCATCAGTATACTTCAGAAGTAGCATCAACCCTGAAAGAGTAACCCAGTCTTTAAAAATATTTCCATACTTTTTTCTTTTTATTTATTCTTATCTTTGTTAAATAAAGAGGAAAGCATGTAAAATCTCATCAGTTACATAGAATTGGAATACTGCTATGTAACAGAAATCATGACACTAGTGCACAGGAATTAAAAGCCAAGAAACTCTGTTCCAAGATGAATTGAATTAAGTCTTGACCTTGTAAACATTTCCATAGGAGGTAGAACATACACATTTGACGTTGTGTCAAATAAGGGATAGTAAACAATGATTCTGCGATCCTAATAAATTAAAGTCATTTTCAAGGCATTAAATAAACTTTTCTATTTTTAGAAACCAAAGATGAAATGGAACACAGATTTTTAATAAATTAGCACATGAACTATTAAATCATAATTGAAATGTTCACATCTTTAAAACTCCAGTGGTTTCATATTTGAAACTATGATTACTAGAGAGATCATATTAAAAGCTATCTGTGTGCAAGGCAAACTTAGCAAATGTCTCCATTCGCTATGGAGTTGTCCATAGTTTTATACCAGTGACTTGAAATGTAATGTCCTGCCACTGCAGAGTCCATTTTCTTCACTCTGATGTCAGTCTAAGCAAATAATATTTGAACAGTAGAGATTGTTAAAGTTTCATTAAGTGCCTCCAGCCGCCGTTCCCATGAACACAGTGTTGATGGGTGGTAAGGAGGACACCATTTCTCTACCATTTGCGCCACAGGAGTCCAGGGTTTCTTGAGCTGGGTACTGAGTGGAAGCTCCATACATACACTGGGATGAGGAAGAAGGAATTGGGGTTTGTAGGTTGGATGCTGTGAGGGAGAATAAAACCAGTAATTAAAAAAGGATTGACCATTACATTGCTAATGCCAGCTCACTTGAGGCCACTATGTTTAGTTCTGCATGTAGCATTAGGAGTTCTACTCAATTTGAGAGTGTATGATTTATCGGAGCAATCCCTTTCTTCCATTTCCCTTGCTAGTCTCCTGGGAATTGTTACTTCTTCTGCACATTTCATAACTTTAAATTAAGGAAACTCAAACTGAAGTCAAACTAACTTGGACAACAATCACCAAAACATATGCCCAATGCACTGCCTCTTGCTATTTGCATCGCTACAACTGTAGTTCAAACACCCACTTCTTTTACAGGAACAATGCAGCAGTCTCCTATGTAGTCCATTGTTCTCATATTTGACCCACTTTTTCACCCTCAGACAGCAGCCATGATACTCTTGCTAGAGTGTATTCTTCGCGAAAGTGGCAGTGACTTCCTTTAATGTTTAGAATAGCCTTAGCTCCTTTCCCTGGTGCCTACGACCATATGTGAGAACATCAAGAGAACACTTGATCTCTGCTTTCTGATTTATTGTACTACCATCCTTTCTGCAGTCACTGTGTTCAAAACTACCTTCCCTAAAGTGGATCCTCTATGACTGTCATCTTAGCCTAGTTAATCACCTTCATAGTATATGAAATTCTTTTTGAAGTGTTTGTCTGTAATCAGAGCCTTCTCGTGCCCTTCTAGGATACAACCTTCCTATAGACAGGAACTCTGAGCTGATCATTACCAAGTTCTCGCTCCTAGAATGAAATATGACATTTAGAACATTCTCAAAGTATTTAACTGACTCACTGAACCTGCACTTCCTACATTTATGGTTGCTTCCTTCTCACTGATGTTCTTATTTTTCTATCATCTTTTTGTCACTAGAAGCTTTATAACTAGGGAAACATAGCATGGCTCCGAACCTCCTTTGCACTACTTACCCGCTTCTTCTAGTCCCTCTTGTTATCCTGCAGCCCTCTTTGCCGTTTCCTTGACAGCCAATTCTGACAATAAAGCCAAGAATCTACTCTACACCCAAGCTATGTTTCACCAAAGCTTCCACTATCTCCACGAGTAAATAGCACTAATAGTAACACTAGCAACATAGTACATTTTAGTATCTCAGTGAGGAAACTTCCTGAAGTGGAATTTTCTGCTTCATTAGAGTAACCTAGAAGCAATGACCATCTGCAGATAGCATGAGATGAGCTGCTAGACTCTGCTCAGGGAGCATCTGTGGCCATCACAGGAAGGGAAGAAGTGCTTCCTATTGAATGATTAAAAAAGCACACTGAGTGAGGAGGATGGCACTTACCTCATTTTGCCTTATGCTATGGTTGGATGTCAATGCCTTTACATACGCTAGTCTGAAATCCCTCCACTGAAAGGTTTCAGCCATCTCGCAGAAACATTAGCCCTCTGCCTTGATACTTCTTGACTCTATACTTGGCCTGGGAGATCTTATTAGCAATTTTAGACACTAACTCTATACATCTGTTGTGGCCCCTTCCACCTCATTGACCTATGGAGCCACTAACCCGGGGCTGGCACTTTCCTGGCACATATTGCAGATCTTCTTACAGATAGCAAACTGGTGGGAGGAAAATGCTTGGGGACTTCACAGAAAACACACTGTTTTGCTTGTTACATAAACTGTATGTTATAGAACAACAAAAATTACAATACTTCTACAGGCCTGCTAATCACATTTTAGATGAACTTGAGAAAATGATAGCAACCTCAGTCAGAGAACTCAATTTTTTAAACATGGCATGGCTGGAGGGTGCTGATGGAGTATTGCCCGTGGGCCCCACAGTGACAAGTAGTAAGAGAAGACATCACTCTTACTTTCGCAAAACTGCCAGTCTTTCAGACTGGGTTTGACAGGTGACACTAACTTTTTCACTCATAATACATGCCAACTCTTCTTTTTAGAAAGAACAGATCTAGTAGTAGAATGCATATATGTATATGCACATAGATTGTATATACGTACATCTGCATACACATAAAATACATAGTAAGAGCATGACTAACAGTACAAAGAAATAATTTTAAGTCCAAAGTGATAAATCAACTGTGGGAGTATGAGTGTCCAGCTCATGGCAACACTTCCCCCTCCAAAACTATACCATGTACCTGAAACTAAAGACTTTTAAAGATGTTCTCAAGAACTACTGAAATAATTTACCTACTACTGGAGGACGACATGCAGCTGGAGATGACATGTCTGCATAAAATGAACTAGCCTTTCTACTACTGTCATCTAAAATGTTAAGAGGATCGTGAATGTCACTGTAGGGAGGCAGCGAGCGAACACTGCTGATGACAGAAACGTGCTGATTCACCATCGATCCAAGTCTGTGAGACTCTGGGTAGTTTATATTGTTTCCATAGTATTCTGTAACAGAAAATGTTGAGAATGTTCCGTTAAGGTATTGTAAGATCATACCAAGAAAAAAATGACTAGGTAGTACCACAGAGCTCTAAAAATATTATATCGTAGTTATTACATTCACATTGATATTTACTAAGAGACATGCTTGTGTTCATGTGTGAATATTGTTTACTATGCTGCTTCTTTTTTACAGTACATAGGACTTATCCTATCATTAATTTTGAGACATAGAATACCTCTATTTCCTTTATCTAAAGTGACAAGATGTGCTATATAAAGGAAATACAAGATTTCCTTTACCTAAAGTAAAAAGATCACTTAGCCTCTCCCATTACTTGTAATATACCAATTATATTTACAGATTCATGTTTCTGTAAATGAATCATTGGTCTATACTTAGAAGCAAAGCATAAGAGAGCTAAATACAGAGCTTATTTTTCTGGTTAAAGGTGTCAACAGATCTTTCTACTCTCTCAACTTCAAGTGTTTCATCAGCATGGTTTTTGTCGTAATATTTAAAGTCTGCTGCTAGTTTTCCAGACAAAACATTAATTCCTAAACATATTTTCAAGAGTCAAAACATTTTTCTCTGGAGTATTAAGACCAAACATATGGTTTGACAGTATTATTTCCTCATGTGTGACATTCAGGAAGGCAGATTTAATAAAACCACAATTAAGGATATGTTCATAAGTGGAACAAATTAGTTCCAAATGTGTAAGTTTCATGATCTCTAGAGCTTGACATGGGATGTCATGCTACTCAGCAGAGGTGGCACTGTATGTTTGATTTTGCCTTATTGCTACCTCAAAAGCCAGGAAATTTTTTTTAAATGTCAATACCATTAGGCGAATTAGAAGGCAATATTGCTCCTTGGCAGTTGGTAGTCCCTGTGTTGCTCAGGAAATTGTAGCTTCCTGTATTTAAAAACTGCATACTCTGTGAATCTTGACCATGTGGGGATGGTCCATAGCTAGAAGGTGGCCGAGAGTTGTATGGAGACCCAGCGCAGCTGCCACTGAAGAAGTCTCTAGAAAGTTGCTGTTCACTCCAGGCCACACATCGACCATGCTCTGGGCGATGAGGATAGAGTCCTGATGGTGGCTGGGGCTGCATTCTAAACATAGTCTGATAGTTCGAGTTGGTCCCATAAAGATCGTGGTTGGCCTGGGGAAGAGGAGGATAAATGGACTCTGAATATGTGGAGCAGTGTGTTGGAGTGGATAGCAAGGGGCCCACACTTGGGGGTCTCCCTGCCATTGGTCCTTGGTTAATGACGCTTCCTCGGCTTGCCATGGCTGGGGAAATTGGTGGTGTCATCAGGTGACCAGTGTTGTGGGAGAGCTCCATTTGACCTAGAAAAAAAATCACCAGAGCTTTCACCAATGGCATATTAAAACAGATGGGCCCATACCTTTATTATTGGCAGAATTTATTAATATATGCTTTTTTCCAACTTACTCCTTCCTGCCTTCCCCAAATAACAGAGCATGGAAATACCAAAAGTCTAGGTTTAAAAAATACCATCACTATAGATGTGTGCTTCATAAAAGTCGAGACTTTTGAAGTTAGTGACTATTGAAGAAAATCTAGGATGTACGTTCTATACATATCATTGTTCTGCAGAAATGAAGCCCATGTCAGTGTTGGGAAGAACAAGGGTGTCTGCTGCTTACATTTCTCCACAAACAGAACTTAAGCTGGTTGGTAAGTAACTTGATTTTCAGGGTAAAAGAAAAAGGGAATCATGTCCAAATGGCTATCTTTTCAAAGCATCACACAAACATCAGAGATAAGAAACTAAAATTGTGAATGCCACGAATTTCCTCAGCATCTGATTTTTCCATTAGGGAAATTAAACCCTTAAATTTCTGTATGTCCAGTAAGTGTTGTACATAAAAGACTTCAAAAGAGACAGGATTGAAATTAGCAGTATTATCTAGTAGGTAATTCAGGCTACAAGATATCAGTTTAACACAAAAAGGATCCCAGACCAAAGATGAAATTAGAATAACTATCCTAAAGAAGCCTAAACAATTTTTTAATTCACTTTTGTACTGAAGGAACATTGCATTTTAACATCATATAAGTTTCAGGTATGCAACATTATACATCAACACCTTTTATAAATATATATGTGTGTGTGTGTATATATAGTATATATATGTATATATATGTATATATATGTATATATGTGTGTGTGTATATATATATATGTACACATACACATGCACACATTACATTAGACTGCTAAAAGTCCAATTCTTAATGGAATGTGTCTCCTCAAAAACTAAAATTAAAAAACAGCATACTTTACCTTCAAATCACATCAAGGATTTCAAGTATCCCTAATCCAATTTTATCTTCCACTAAATGAAGACAACTAGCTATTCATACTTCTCATATAACTTACACAGTGTGTCAGTGTGATATCTATGTTTATAATAGAACTGATAAAAATATGAGAGACAACATGCTGAAAACCTCCAGGTAAGGGTTATTATAAGTCAGTTAGGAGAAGCCTTTTTACTCTCGGGATGTCTGGAAATTACCAGGACAGACATAGGCTCGGGCTCTTGAGAGGTGTGTTGAAGCCTAAGGAGTCTTCTTGGAGTCCCACTTGTACCTGAGAGAGCCATGTCATCGGTGCTGGCAGTGGAGAATGGGTGAAGCGCAGAGGGCAAGCCTCCAGGCTGACTGGCTGGCAGAGGAAGGTAGGCTGCTTCCATGTGGCTTTCATTCTTCACAGAGTCATTGGAAACCGAGCTTCCTTTATTACGGTTGGCGAGAAAGCATGAACTCGGAGAAGCAGTGAAGGCAGCTTTACTTGCATCTGGAAATATTTTTTTTTAATTAGGAAAGCTAATCATTTCCCAAATTCCAGTATATGAATACAAGTAAAAGACACTGAAAATGTTTTATAGTTGTGTGATCAATCAGGAAACTCTAGAGACTTCTTTCCATGGGAAATAATGCTGGCAGTGGGCTGGATAGAATTGGCTGTACGTTTATGGATTTAGGAGTATACCCTGAGGCCACTACATAACCTAGTGGCAATTTGAAGAATTTCAAATTGCAAACCTAAACTCCTATAGAAATTATTAAACTACTATACTTAAACTCTTATAGAAATTATTTCTACACCACTTATAAGGTTGTACTATATATTGTCATGAATTATTTTCTGTACTATAGTCACCCTCCATCTTAATCTAAATTCTCAGAAATGAAGAACATCAAATCTGTGTCCTTTAAGAAAAGTACACTGACTGTATAAATGGAGGAAAGAAAAACACTATTCCAATAGTGTTAGCCTATGATATTAGTAGCAGCATGTATAGGGGGAAAGCCCTGAGACCATTATAAATCTAATTAATATGTGCTGTTACAAATTCTTAAACGTGGGTTTAAACAAAGAAATATGCAAAACAAGATATAGCCACACATACATACACATGTATAATATATTTAATTACCTGAATTCTTCATATACTTGTCCAATAAATTCTGTAATTCCTGCTCTTTGTCATTATTAAACTGGGTCTCCATGGCCAGGAGAATGTACTCATCAAGAAGCATTCGGATCAAATGGAAAGAGCCTTGTGTGTGGACAGGGAAGGGGAAGAGGACATTGTGAGATGAAATAAAGGAGAGAAAGAGAAGGAACAAGAGAGTCAAGTTATCTTCGTGACCATCTCTCAGCACTCTACAAGGAGCAACTGAAATAAACAAATACTTGTTGGACTTTAAATGACCTGCTAAGACCAACATGCTTAACTTGGGTCTCTAATCTTTCTGTGGACTGCCTGCCCACCTCACTGTGTGCACTGTCCTGCTAGCTCTCTGGCCACTAATTACATCAAAGGAAAATACGGATGAAAGTGAGGCATGCTTTATGCGTTAAGAGGGCACACACTGCAGAGTGATAAGCTTTAACTGGAGAGAGAATGAGCTCTACTATGCTCTATTTCTGTTTACTTTCTACTAAATAATTAGTCAATGGCCAGCATGGTTTGAAAAAAAAAATCAAATAAGAAGATGTCTTTCTAGCCTGAAATAGTCTTTGATATAGAAAAGAAAAAGAATGATGTCCTGAAAACTTTAAACTTCTTTTACTATTCAAAAGATTTCCTAACGCAAGTCTTTTTTATAATAACTGTGGGCTTCAATGCTCATTGTATATCTTAAAATGCCTTAAATATGCACAAGATAGTTTTAAAAATAGACTTAATGCATTTTGTTCATCCCTCAATATAAGTTGACAAGTTTTGTCTGATTGCAATGCAAATTAAACAAAAAACAGTGTACTATAGTTAATTGCAACCTGTTTTATAATGTGAAGATTTCTCATTATGCAACTACTAAATGCATAGCTGCTATCCACTAATTTATAACTAAAAAAATTATAACTAAAAAATAAGAAACTCAAAATTTTTAGGGAAAGATGAATTCTACTTTTGCAAATGACAGCTTTCACCAATTTGTTTCACAGGCAAGCTAGATGGTCCAGAAACATAAAATTTCTGGAGTGGAAATAATGTGGATTCCTACAAAAAATACGTAAAAATTTGCCATATTGCAATGTATAGTTCTTTTGGAAAATAATGTATTGATTTTTGTTTATTTGCTTAGTTAATGAAGAAAATTTATCCAAGCATTGATAAATGTAATGACAATAGCTGCTATTTATTAAGTGTTTTCCAGGTGCTGGGCAATAGGTTTTTATTAACATCCATCACCTCACTTAAGTGCCTACACAGTCCTATGAAAATAATATTCTGTCCTTTGTACAATGAGTGGGAAATTGGGTAAAACCCACCAAGAGAAATGGTGTTAAGATTGAACGTTGCATGGGCTCTCAAGGCAAAACCCAGGCTCACAACTGGCATTCTCTACTATTTTGGTGTTCAGATGTGATTTGAGAGGTGGTAATGCCACATGTTTAAACACTGATAGGAGATAAGACTGGGATACAAATGATGCAATTTCATTTAAAAGTTTTATAAGGCACAGAAGATACCAAAACTGGATGCATTGTTCAAGGTGAGATTATGCATTACTCGAGCACCAAAGAAACTCCACTTGAGCAAAAAGTCTTGAGCCCTCTTCTTTAATGATCTTCCATTTTGTTTGCTGGTCTGAAAATAGAGGATAACATGAAGCCATAAAATTGCTCCTCTCTTTACTAAATACGGCCTATGTTAGATCACAAAGGAATTAAACCCTCTGACAAACGGACAGATGGCAAGGCATGCTATTTATCTCGTCAAATAAAGTGACCTGTCCAGGGATTTCAATTTTAGTCTGCTTTGTTGCCATTTTTAAAGTTAGTAGATCTACTATATATATTTTACTTAATAGAATTAGACAAAATGAGGTGATTTACAAAATATTTTAACTTATAATTTTCCTTTGATAGAGCTTTAAAAAGAACAGAAGGTAAAGTGTGAAGAAAGGGTTATATATTTCTGTGAATGATTAACTCAAACTTCTCAAGTCCTGAATGATAATTTGTTTTCCTTCCAGGAGAAAAAAAAGTCCCTAGACTATAACTAGTTTCCTTGATATGGAATGGCTAACACCAAGAGGTGATGGATATATTTGCCCTTACTGCCTTGCTTCATGATGGATGACTTGAAGGTTAACTGAAGAAGGTGAAGCAACCACACAGAAAACATAAAATTCTGAGCTCCTGGAAGTCAAACATGTAAATGCTAAAAACCATGTTTTCTGTCAATGCTTATGCTATGAAAACTTGCTTCTTAGAAAAGGGTCTCATCTTTCCAGGTTCTAAGTCTTTCGCTACTGATATTACGTAGCTGTAAATTTATTGACAACAGGAAAGGCATGAACTGAATTCATGCCCAGTGCTCTCAGGTATAACAAACCTTTAGCTATTTGGGCTGCTTTATTTGAAGGGTTCCAAAGCCTTTCTTTCTGACTTCTTTGCAGTTATAATATTCATTTATTTTTTTACTCATGGTATACCATTACTTTACACACATTTGCTTTTCCACAATATAGGCCTTTTCCCCTCCGCTGTGGCCACCAAAGCACACTTAGTCATCTGCCATTGGTCACTGTATGCTCCCTTTCCCTTTAAAGACTTCTCAAAGCATTTTGATATAGCTGCCACCTCTTCCCTGCCAGCCAAGAAACTGCAGTTCTGCCTTTTCACAAAAATTTTATTTTCTGAATCTGTCACTTAAAAGTACCTTAATAGGGGTCCTCCCTAGTGGCTCAATGGGTTAGGACATAGCACTGCAAGCTGGCCACAGCTGCTAGAGATGATCATGGCGCAGCAGACCTCTCCTGACCCACCCACTGCTCCCCTCAGCAGTGTACTTCACTGATCTGCCTGTTCTGCTCCCCACTCTCTCTCTGGTGAATCCTCTCACCTCTCCTCACCTCTGGCTTGTACCCAGTACTGTATGCATAAATAATAAATGAATCTTAAAAAAAAAAGTACATTAATAGGGCCCTCCCCTGTGACACAAAAGGTTAGGATGCAACACTGCAAGCTGACCACAGCCCCTTCAGTGTGAGTTCGATCCCTGGCCCCGGAGGTGACCCACATGGCAAGACAGACCTCTCCTGTCTCCCCAGCTGCTCAGAAGTGTATTTCATTGATCTGCCTATTCTGTTCCCCCCTCTGTTTCTGGTGAAGCCTCTCACTGCCCCTGCACCCCTGCCCTTATCCCTGTCCATATGAATAAATAAATAAATCTTAAAAAATAAGTACCTTAATAACTCTTTGCTCTACCACTGTATCCAACCACTCAATAAAAGCCTCCACGGTGGCATTCTTCTTAAGGAGATCTTTCAGTTCTTGGAACACAGTGATTGAGTCATCTATCACAGAAGAAATAAAAGAAAAAATAATTGTACTCTACTGTGAACCCAAGAGAAAACCTTAAAAGTAGGCATCATTAACAGTTTTATAATACAAAAGTCAAAGACTGGTAGATTAACTCAAACCTTTTAAAGAAATTAATTTTATATTCTGAAGTCAGTAACAAAAGATAAATGCTCAGTATACTATGCTTCAAACTTTCAATCATGAATGTATTATCTTGGTTTATTATGTACATACTAGAGAAGAGTAAAGTTGTCAACATAGTTGGCTAATGGGATCTCCCTGTTGGCACAGGGGTTGAAGTCTCAGTTCTAGCAACTATTGCCAGCCACTGTGGCATGAGTTTGATCCCTGACCAGAGAGCTGACCCACATGACACAGCAGAACTGTCCTGTCTCCCTGCTGCTCCCTTCAGCAGTGTATTTCAGTAGATTTGCCTGTTCTGCTCCCCACTCTGTCTCTGGGGAATCCTCTCTCAACCCCTGCACCTCTAGCCTACACCCCAGTTCTTGTATGTATAAATAAAATAAACGTTTAAAAAGTATATAGTTGATTATTTATTTTCAATCTAATGTTTTCTTCTATGTGACAGAGTAGTTGAGAGTTAACGAATAAACTAAATTTGTTTATTTCCTGCTTTCTCAAACATCCTTTATCTTTAGCAACAATTAAATTCTGCACTGCAGAATTGAACCACTTACATGAATAATCCTTTATCATGTAAAATTTAAAGGGGAAGATTAGAACTATCATTTTATTAGTGTTTGAGGTTTACTGAGTCTCAAAGGGTAATATAATTTTATATGATGAAATAGAAAGCAGGATTGAGATTGGACTGTCCCCAGAGAGCAGTCCATTTTTGTGCTGTGGCCTGTAACAAGCTACATTAGTTTATTTCTGGAGAAAAATAGAAGGGGAAAATAGTTGATTGCTGTCTTAGAAATTGAACATGCTTGTCTAATCATGTATATAGGCTTGGCAGACTCTGTGAGAAGGTCCACATCTGAGCAGGGTTTCTCTGCTCAGTGTTGTGTGGTGATATCAGTAATATGTATCATATACCAAGAATCTACAGTACATGGAAATATGCACGCATGTGCTATGCAGGTGGGAAAATTTCACATAACTAAAAACTGCTATTTCCATATTTTCTGTAGGCATTGAGTTTCTAGGTGACTTTTATTGTCCTCTTAATACTTTCTAAATTTATTCAGTTTTCCATAATCAATACTGTTTTAAATAGAGGACACATCTATTAAGAGTGTTCCTGGAAACCAGGGTTTCTCAAACAAGCATGATTTTGTAGTCTAAGAGAACATTTGGAAACGTCTACAACATTTCAGTTGTCACAGCTGGGGAGAGGCTGCAATTGGCACCCAGTGGGCACAGGCCAGGGTTCCTGCCAAGCATCTTAGCTCAGTGCTAAGTGTGCCAAGGCTGGAAACCCTGCTCTGAATAGACAGAAGACTTACGTTCAGTGTAGAGATCAGATTCAGTATCTGTGCTGCCCGAGATGGTGAGAAGGGCCTGAGATCCAATACTATTTAAGTCAACTTTCTCAATATCAGACACCATAGAATTTACCACATGCTGGTCAAAGAGAGCTGGTCTAGCAATCTGCTTAGAAAAAGCAAAAAGACACCAAACTTTAACATACTAGTCTGTCTAAAGGAATGTTTTAGTTTCTAGAGAAATAGTTTCTAGAGGAAAAGTATCATAAATAACTTTTTTAAAAACTTAAAGTAATAGCTAAGACTTATGTTAACCTCTGAAACTATTTTTGGATTTAGAAAATAATGTTTTCATGGCTATGAAGTAAATACTTTATAATGTACATTTCTTATCTCGAACAATTTCAAGAGTCTTTTAAAATTTAGGGGGCTAGAAAGCTCCAGAAAGCAATCACTTGAGGGAAGGGGCAATATATTTTACAATATGTAAACATATATTCCTAATTTAAGAGTTACTTTCTTTCCCCCTTCCTATTTAAGAGATACATGTGTTGGGTCTGTGGGCTTCACATCAAGTGTTGCATAGGTTCATTTCCCATTAACTGAATTTTTTAAATTGGATTCATGTGGAAAATGAGAATTTTACATTTTACATTGCATTGAAAGGTTTTATTCTTGTTTGTTATCTTGAAATAATTTTAAAGTTATTAAAAATGCCAACATAATATAACACATTTCCATATACTCTCTATCCATCTTCTCCTAATATGTCACTTAACATAACTTCTATGTGTTACCAAAGTCAGGAAATAAACTTTGGTACTATCTATTTACCAAATAGAGGTATAATTTAAAATTCATCAGTTTTTCAACCGATATCCTTTCTCTGGTCCTGCATTCACGTTAGGATCTCACATTGCAGTTAGTGGTTGCCGACCTAGTCTCCAGTTTCTGAAAGTTCCTCAGTCTTTGTTATCAGAAGATTCATTTTTTATTTGGTCACTAAAATACCAACGTACCTGAGCAAGATGCAAGAAAGATGTTTGTCGTTTCAGAGAAGATACAAATCTTCGTACAATGGGTATTTTCTTGTCAATTAGTGCTTCTGGTAAGTTTTCTAATGATGAAACAACCCACTGTTCCCAATTTTTAGCAAAATTTCTTATGTCTGCTAATAAACTACAAAAAAAAAAAAGCCCTAGGTGTAAAATGTTGAGTTGTTCACAATGCAATGTAGTTTAATGGAGGTTTACTATACCATAGTTCAAAGAACTTCACTTTTAAAGTCAGACAAGACCCAAGTCTACCACTTACCATCTTACTCCAAATACTCAATGTCATCAAACTCCAGTTTCCTTATCTATTACATAGGAATAAGCCTAATGTCCATGTCACAGGATTATTGTAAGATCTATATGAAATAATTTATGGAAAGTGCTCAAAGTTTGGCATACAGAGTGTCAAATAAGTAGTACTTTATTATTAAAGTTATCTCATGATTCAATCATTTTTCTAAATATTTCTGGGAAAATGTATGTAAATAATTTTGCAGATCTTGGTTCCATGAGAAACATCACTTTGGGACCATAAAGCCATATCAGGTATTTAATATTAGTTTCTAGAAACATATCCTTATAACTCGAATATAACTGTGGGATAAATGATCAAAAATGTACTTTGGATCATTTAAAAAAATTAACTTTTTTCTACTCCTGCTTTCTTCACATATGAATTTGGAATTATAATATTTCCTTTGTAATCATCTGATAAGTTGTGCATAAAAATTGCCATTGTTCAATGACAAGGAATTAACTACATAAAAGTATAGCACTGTTCATAAGTTGGACATTTAAGCAGCCATTTAAAGAGATAATGATATGGCCCTCCCTGGTGGCGCAGTGGGTTAAAGCACAGCACTGAGAAGCTAAAGCCACTTCCGCATGAGTTCGATCCCTGCCTGCCCCGGAGGTGACCACATGGCGTGGCAGACCTCTCCTGACCCGCTCGCTGCTCCCCTCAGCAGTGTACTTCGTTGATCTGCCTGTTCTGCTCCCCATTCTGTCTCTGGTGAATCCTCTCGCCACCCCTGAGCCTCTGGCCTGTACCCTAGTTCTGTATGCACAAATAAATAAATCTTAAAAAAAAAAAAAAAGAGATAATGATAGACTTGTTGATAGAAAGATTTTTATAATGGAAAGCATAGTAAGCATACTTTAGGTTCAATTTTTTAAAAGTGTATATTTAAATATATTTTTAGAAAAAAGTGTGTGAGATGATAACTCAGCTTTTAAGACTATAGTGAAATTATAAGTGATTTTTTAAATGTAGTTATGTACTTTTTCACAGTCAATAATACATGTGAATGAATTGCGAGACAAGTATATAAATAGTCCCTTTCCGGCTTGAGTAGAAATTAAGCGAAATAATTTATGTAAAGTCTCAAAATCCACATTGTGTTTATCAAGGGCAGTTATTGTTCTTGAAAGTCACATGACTGATACTAAGTAAGCAGGGCCATTCTGCTGTGACATGGAAGTGTTAAGCATACCTAATTCAGAACACAGATTACATGTGTACAGACCGAAAGTTGATTGTTTAAACCAGCTATTACATAAATAATCTAGAGAAAAATGTAAATCCTTGTTAATATTTGTTTTATCAACCAGCATGTATTTCCTGAGTACTATGTCTAGTCTATATTTACTTGTATCTCCAAATACCAAAATAAATTTGATGATTTCATTGCTTTCAAAGAAACATTTTTAAGTCAAAACTATCATCATTAAGGTTTCATTTCAATTTGATATGTTTATGTCTTCTTTGAGAGAAAGCAATTAATTTTGCAGTTAATACCAAAGTTAATAATACCAATAAAAATAATTTCTGTATTATTTTTATTATTTTCATCAATTTGTCCCATTTATCTTCCTCTACCCAGTTCCACTGAGGAACTTTTTTTCCGTATCCTGAAGGTCAGCCACACTTAAATATTTATTTTTCATTAGGTCATTTCTCTAGTTAAGGTATTTTTGGACTGTTACATCAATGTGTTCACAGAGAATCAAATATAAGGGTTGAAACATATCTCTTGCAGCTGTTACAAAGAACAGAAGCAGGAAAATATTTTGGGTAAATGAATGAATTTCAACTTAATGTCTTTATTGTAATGTATAAGATTGAACTCCACCGTAGGAAACTACATGTTTTATGGACTTGACCTACCTTTCAGGCATTTCTTGCATTGTTGCAGGAATGAGGACATCTGTAAGAACCTTAATACAGCAGAGAAATTAACATAAATCTTTATATAACATTCTATACAAAGACATATTATTTTGCAATTTTATTCCCAGCTTTCCAGAAAACAGCATGTTAATTAATTTCTGGAAATTACAGTTTTACCTCTAAAATGAATATATGCATGAGACAGGGGTGTTTGTGTGTGTATGCGTGTGTGTGTGTGTGTGTGTGTGTATGGGTGGTATGAGTGGGGGAGGAGAAATTTTAGAAATGTTGTAATACTGGGTTAAGGATGTACTGGGTACAGAATTATCAGAACAGAAGGAAATGTGTAGCTTCAGAAGGGTTTAGTCTGAGCCCTAAATGTGGGTGACAAAAACAGTCATCTACTTTCCCTTTTAGGTACTTTCTCAAGCCATTATTATCACAATCAGTTATTGCCAACTAAATATTTTCTCTCTCAATAATTATATCTTATTCAACCCAGAAAATGAGATAGTCCTCCTGCTCCTTTGCCCTTCTTCAAATTGAACTTGAACTAAAGGAAGATAATAAACTGTGCTTACTTCTCAGTTCTTATACTTCTTTGAGGGAGAACAGAGGTTGAAAATCAGGCTCCTCTATTCTGGCTCAAGCCTACCTATCAGTTTTTGGTCTGTGACGCTGCCTTCTGAACTGAGTCTATTTGGTTTTTGCTTCACTTCTGCAACAAACATGCATTTTAAAAAGAAGGAATTTATTTCTTTAATGTTTAACAGGACTCCAGTTGGGTTTTCTTGCTGACTCAGGTTATTTTTTAAAAGGGAAGTTTTTGCTTTTCCTAATGACAATTTAAAAGGTAAATGTATAGACACTTTCTTCAAAGTATCCAGACTGCAATGAAGTTTCTTCCTCAGCTTAGACCTTATTGCTGTCCTATGGAACAAACTCTCTGGGGTTCTCCTCCTCCCCCAATAATTGCTTGGCAAGGAGGTCGACTAGCTCTACTTTGGTCAGGGTGTCTCTTTACCCTTTAAGTCAAATGGGGACTCTTACCTGGTTCAAAAACAGAGTAAGACATTAACACATTAAAATTTCTAAGATTTTTCAATTAACTCAAGCAGAATTCATTAATTCTGCTTTTCTCCCAAACACTGATATTATTTTTAAAAAGCCACCGTGTTATTTAAACTGAAAATACCTTAAATAGTTCATTAAAACTAAATTTTCATGTGTTTGTGTGTCACAGTGCATTCACTCACAGGTTAAACAGAAACTGATATTCTTTGTAAATTTATATTAAAATACATAGACCATTAAATATACACTATTAAACTGCTTGTTTTCACATTAGAAAAAAATAATGGTGTATCTTCAGTCATAAATATGTTTATTGAAAATAATCTTGCACAAGTTTAGCTAGAATGCTCTTCAAAGAAACTTAGGATTCATGTTTAAGGTATCCTAAAGTGCTTACCTTATAAAGAATTGAGTCACAGACACAGAAAATATCAATGATCACAGGGTTTTCAAGCAGGGGAAGAAGATGATCAGGCATTCCTTGCCAAAAGTGTAATAAAAAATGCTGGATCTAGTCACAGAACAGAGTGTGCACATTAACATTTTTCCTTTACATAAACTCACAGAACAGAAGCATTTGGTGGGCAAAGCAGCCTTTGCCATCCTTACCTCTTCAAAGTTCCCATTAATTGCATTGTCCAGGATGCACTGGCAGTGAGTTTTGTACATCATAATGAGGGTATCAACCTATTTCAAGGAAGAAAAAGTTTAACCAAAGCATCCTTTCAACACTGCCTTCATCAGTTCATTCACCCAAAACATGTTTTCTAAGCTCTTGTTATGTGCCAGAATTTGGGCTCAATGCTGAGGAATCAAACATAAAGGCACAAATACTATTTAAAGGCATTTAAGGGAGCAAGGCAAGCAAATGGGCAATTATAGAACAATAGGAAAATAGTCATGAAAGAAGGTCTTTGTGCAGCGAACTATGGGACATCAAACTGGATGGAATAATAAATCGGTAAAATAGTTCAGCTCACAGACAGTGAAGCATTATTAAGTGGCACTTGGGCAGAGTGATGTAGTTGTTTCTAGTCTTGTCTTTGAGGCTAGCTAGCTCCACTCTGCCACTTAGCAGGCACATATTTACACAAGCTGTTTTGTCTCTGAGGTCCTGGGGGGTTTTTTGTTTTGTTTTGTTTTTAATTTTGTAACATTTTATTCTTTTTTTAAATAATAGTTTATATTATTACTATTATATACTATAATAGTTTTTATTTGTACATCATTTTGTGCCTTTTTCCATCTCAGTTGTAATCCCCATCACCAAATCACCCGTGTGCCATCACCACAGTCCAGTGCACTTCCCTCCCCCCACCGTTTTTGATCCCATTCTCCACTCCACCCCCCATAAAATGTCTCTGGTATATGGTTGTTCATAATTATCATTATGATTTTCTTGCCTAGGTCCAGGCTTTTTAATCTTCATGCATGGTGATAATAACATATGCTCCTATGGTGTTAAGATTAAGTAAAATTATATGGTACACAGAACAGTGCCTGGCATACAATAAAACCTTACTAAATATTACCAAAAATTAACTATGTTATGAACATATACTCACCAAAAAATTGAAAATTGGATATATATTATGCAAGTCTCCATTTTCTCCATGTCACAAATATTTAGATGGCATAGTTTAAAAGTTTTAAGCATATTCTAAAATTTGCACTGGGTTATAATTAGATATCTGGAAATTCAGCAACATTTAAGTCTAAAACCCTTATTTTAACAGCTAGTAACTTTTCTACCTGTTAATGATTGTGTGCCCTATGAGAATGGGAAGATAGCTTAGAGGTCAAAGGTTTGAGTTTTGCTTTGGACTATCTGATTTGAATGTCAGGTCTAATATTACATTTATTAGCTAGGTGATGTTGGTCAAGGTACTTAACATTTGTGTTTTAATTTCCTCATCTGCACAATGGAAGTGATAATAGCAGTGAATATGTAATAAGGTAGTTATAAAAACTAAATGAATTATCTCTTGTCAAGTGATTGTCATAATCTACAATACATGTTAAGAAATTGACAGATGTTAACTATTTTCAACCCAATAGTATCTAAGGTGATGTTGATGATAGGAGTGCTTCTATCCTAATCCGTGGTTCTTTAACCTTTTTCCTACAGCCAAGTAGCAACACACATTTTTGTAACCTAGCTCAGAGCTGGATAATAATAACATGCAAATTATCAATTTACCTCCAAGGAGGTGTGCTGGCTACAGGACACCTCTAGCAGGATATGTCACCGAGAATGCCATTTAGATGTGCTCTACACATTAAGCAATATCCTGTTTTTTGATGGTTCAACAAGAAATGTTTTTAAAATAAAAATGACAGCACACAGACAAGAATTCATAACTATTGCCAAAATTAACCCTTTGAGACCTTTGAAACCTGTAAACCTTTCCTTTAAAACCTAGAAAGTACATTTTTAAGAGTATTTTTAAGAATATTTAAAACCTATAAAGTTCATTTTTAAGAGTATTTCTACTTCTTTATATCAGAAGTTGTTCTTTTACACAAGCATAAAATACTTTAATCCTATGTTTGGTACTTCACTCATTTATTTAATATGATCATAATCTCAGGATAGTAATCTTTAATTATAGTATACTTTACACTCTATAAACATAATTTTACCAAATTTTCTGAGAATAGATATCACATTATAGAGGACAAGACCTGAAGCAACGCTTAGCACAGTGTGGGGTGAGAATGGCCATAAGTGACAGTCTGAGGAGGCAGAAAGCAGACTGTCGGTTTCAGCCAAACACTCTGAGAGGAGTGAAGTAAATTCCTACTGGGTAATCTCCAACCTTCCTACCTCAAGAAAGTAAGAACTTAAAATGCTTAGCTTCAGCTCCATCCCTTCTTATGGGAACTGACAAATTACCTGAAGAACTTATTACTGGCTGAAAGAAGAACAATAGGGCCCTGCTGTCTTCAAAGGACAAAGAGGAGCAATGGTAACTGGTGCTCAGGATGGGGACCTCTGGGGAGGAACTTTGAAACCAGGAGCTATTTATATATCTGATGCCTGAGTGAGAAATAATTTACAGACTAGTTTTTCAAATTCATAGCTAATTTTCAAATTCATAGCCTTTGGAGACTAGCAGAGAAACGAAAGAAACTATAGAAAATGTGCCATTCTATTTTTTTATTGTTGCTCTCCCCACTCTCCATTTTCTCTCAACAGGTATATTTACCAAGTAAGCTACTGACTGGTATATCTGCAGGTAAGCAATCCTCTCTATAAAGGTCAAAGAAATGTGTTCCTAAGAAATATGTCCCACTGTTTCCCCCATACTCCCAAACTGCAACAAATTAACATTTACCAGAGTTTTCTCAAATCTTAAGTCATAATAACACACATTCTATAGAGAGTTAAAAAAATATATGATAACCTTGAGAAATGTGATGGGAGAGAATAGTTAGAAGTGGACATTCTTCAGGGGCTCACTTGGAATTTATACTGAGAATTATCTTCGATTCTTTGTCTATTATTAAATGGAAGAGTATGTCTATCATCAGAATGAACAGTACATGTTCAAAGTTACTGTGCGTTGTCTATTTATTTATCAATAGGTTTTAATTATGTACTATTTTTATTATTTGTTTCTACAAATAACAAAAGAAAGCCAATTATTAAAGCAATACAGCTGTACATTAGTTAATAATATTACTCTATCTTCACATCTCAAAAATATAAATTGACTTACTGTATTATGAAAGGGGTCTTCCTCAAATGTTAATGAAAAAATGAACTTTAGTTGAAAGAAGAATGTAGACATTTGTAGGTCTTGATTTAATAAAGGATCCTGCCATTAGTCATCTAGTATGTGACCAGCAAGTGACTCCAGAAATTTAGAAATAGAGGAAAATTTAGCCTTAGACTTTACTATATGAATAGGAAAAGTCATATTGAGGATTATTTATGAACTGAATCCTGTACAACTTTCAAAATAGACTACAAATGTAAGAGAGCACAGAATTGAAATAATTTTTGTGATCATATAGTATATTCCTTGCATTTATCTAGGCATCTTCCCCCCCAGGACTAGAAATAGATTCTGTCCTTGGGAAGTACATGATGACTACAGTATTTAGTGAATTTAAAGGGAGTAAATATGAAAATAAATCTTATAAATAAAGAAAATATACTTGATAGATACATTACAGTAATTTCTTTTTTGTCACTTAGTTTGACATAAAAATCATCTTTAAGTCTTTGAAAATTATTATTATTATTATTATTTTACCACTTTGTGCTTATACACTATCACTGAAATAGTAAATAATTAATTGGGAAGTGTTTAATCAATATTAGTAAACATTTGTCTCTCCTATAAATCAGTCAATTATGTTTGATTATGTAGATTTCTGATGGCTTCCTACAAGCATCATGATATTCCCAGCAAATTGAGATATGGAACCAACATATCAGAAAGTCAATAGAGAAGTATCTTTACTTGATACCTTGTCTTTAGCAATGCATCCTTGGTACACAAGGTGTTGAGCACTGGGGAATTCTGGAAGAAGTGTTCCAGTTTTTGAGCTAAGTGAATATTTACGAGTGAAGCCACCCTATAATTTAGAAAAAAAAAAAATCAGTTGTAGACTCCAAAATACAATTTTAGTAAAATAAAAACTTATCTTTATAAAGTGCCACTCTTCTTTATTCTACAAACCATGACAAATTAGGAGATTTGGGTAAACAAAATCATGTAGCTAAATAAACCAGACATGTCAGTAAAATTATTGTTTCCAACCATAAATAGTTACATAGGATATTTTACTGTTACTTCAGAGTTTAGTCTTGAACATTTATGAGTTTTTACAACTTTCAGAGATTTAATTTTCACTCACATTTATTAATGGAGTAAGTTTGAACAGATCCTTAGAGTTATTGAAGTTATTTTAACTGTAACAGGATTAGGAGCTGCACAATTTAAACTCATTTATGGATTAAGTAAGATGATAAGCTAATTCTTTTACTCAGATTATCAATGGTAGAATTGCCAAATTAGTACTTTGTACTTCCCCACCTCAATCTATCACTATTCTAAATTGAGATATTTATTGTTCTTCTGAATCCCTTAGGGAGAAGCATCTTTAGCAGTTTTCAGAAAATTCAGTTTTGTCTTTTTCCTAACCCTTTGTGTCAGGAAATTTTTAGTTATTTGAGAACCTTCACACAGCTTTCCATGAGGATGGAGCAGTATCAACTCCCACCAGACCAGCAGTGTCTGGAAACATTTGTTGTTTCCAGTTTCTATTTTTTTTTTTTAATAATATGGGCCATTTTCACCAGTATAAAGTAGTGTCTTAATGTGGCTTTAATATATATTTCCCTGATAATAAGTAATGTTGAACATTTTTTTATATACCTAACTGAATGAATCAGGAAGATATGGTAATTATACATAGTGGACTACTCCTCAACGATGAAAAAAGGTAAACGCATGCCATTTGCAGCAATATGGATGAACCTGGAAAGGATTATGCTAAGCAAAATAAGTCAGAGGGAGAAATATAGATATCCAGAAGTTTCATTTACTTGTAGAACATAAAGAAACTGAACAAAGGGTCAGGAAAAAAACAAAACTTGCTGGCCCTCCCTGGTGGTGCAATGGGTTAGGACACAGCACTGCAGCCTGCCACAGCTGCTTCAGTGCGAGTTGGATCCCTGGCCCCGGAGGTGACCCACATGGTGCAGCAGACCTCTCCTGTCTCACCTGCTGTTCCCTGCAGCAGGTACTTCCTGGATCTGCCTGTCCTGCTCCCCACTCTGTTTCTGGTGAATCCTATCATAGTTCCTACACCTCTGGCCTGTACCCCAGTTCTGTACACATAAATAAATAAAACCAAAAAAAAAAAAACAAACTTGCAAGATGACTATAAATCTGAGGCATGAGGAGAGGGGGAGAAAGGGTCAAAATAAGGGAGGGAAGAATGTAAGGAATTGTGATGATGGTTCATGGGTGCTACATGGTAGGAGGGGGGATATCAAATACTACAAAAATGAATAATGGCATAAGAAAATAAAAAAAGTTTAATTATAAAAGTAATAGATTAAATTCTTAAGTTGATAACTAGTAGTTTTATGTAGTAGAAGTTAGCAATATGTGCTAGCAACATGCATAACAGGAAGCTAGATTATCCAAGGAAAAAGGCTTTTTTTGATTTTTGGTTAATTTTTAATTGTAGAATTTTTTTATTTAGGCAACATTGATTTACAACAATATCTTTGGCTGATGGGTATAGGTTCACATCTTTTACAATGTAAGTTAGCACACTTGCACTGAGCTGGCAGAAGTTAGATAAATCAAGTAATTATATACTATGTAACACATGTGAGGCATGTAAAGAAAAGAGACTGGAATAAATTAAATATGATCATTTTAATTCCACTAATGTGTTTGCTACTTTAATTGTATTAACAAGGGGTCAGAGAAGTTTGGCTGAGAGGTTTGGTTATTGTCATTTTTCCCCCCTCCCCTGATGACTTCAGTACTCTACTTCTGGGTGAACTATTAAGAATCTTATTTCAAAAAGAAAACAAGAAGAAGCCTACAGAAAAGAACTAATATGATTAGAAGGCAAGAGGGTCTGATTTATGAGAAAAGATTAAAGGAGTTAAAGGCACAGTTTGGCTAAGTGATGACTAAAAGAGAACATGATAACAGTCTACAAATATTTGAAAAGCATATACCAAGAAGGGAGGATTTGTTATTTATCTTGGTACAAAGTTGTTAAACTGGCCGTGAATGGTTGGTGTTAAGAAGAAGGGAACTCAGCCTGTCAGGAAAACTTCCTGGTTGAAATGCATGAAATCAAGGGATTTATGTCCTAGAAATAATGGTAATATCATTTGTTAGTTGAAACAAAATTTGGCTCACCCTAAGATTCTTTGATCAGGACTGAGATTGAAATCAGGTTTTATTTGATTGATTGTTTTAATCCCAGAGATTAAAGGATTCTGAGATATACTCTAAAACAGTTCTGAAATCTCAACTACATTTATGAGTAAACCTATAAGCAATCAAAATTTGTATCACTGAAAAGTTCTCTTATCATCCTCCTATCTTTGTTTTGCTTTTGTTAATGTTGTTTTATATTATACTTCAAACTTTAAAAAGGTATAGCTAAAAATACAATCATATGCTTACTATCAAAGATAGTTAACATTTGAGATACTAAAACAGCCTCTATAACACTTACTAATCTTATACCTCCCTTCCTTACAAGAAATCATTAATGTTCTGAATTTGGTTTATATAATTCTTATTCAAAATTTGAAAACTTTACTTATTTACAGATATTCTTCAACAATATGTACTATTAATTTTAATTCCTTTCTGACTTTTCTTATTTACATTTCTCTTAACTATTACTTCCTGTATATTCTTCTAGATCAAACTATTAGCTATTTTAATAATTTTGTAAAATAGATTACTTACTCAGTTTTTTTATTAGAGCATTAAATGGCTAACAGAAAAGAGTGGCACATTTACAATATTCAATACTTTTGAACAACTATGTGGAATGTCTTTTCAGTTAAAATAAATTATTTAATTTAATTTAATGATAAAATAAAATTATTTTATACCAGTAATTTTTTCCAATTTTTTCTTATTTTGATTATCCCTATTTTGCTTCTGCTGGTTTCTGCAATTTAAATTTTGGAATGTCCCATCTTTCTTCTTCCAGAAATAGTTCCCAGCTCTCTCAATAGGGAGGTATGAGAAACTAAGTCCTACAGAAAGGATTTGAAGGACCATCTTCATTCTCCCAGATGGGCACTTAACTAATTTCCTTCTAGAAGCATAAAAGAACTAATTCTTTACATGCAATGTGTGTCTTAGGTCAATAAGGCTACATTCTCGTTGGGAATTCTGACTGAGGAAAACTGAAACTTTAAGTTCTTCAAACTCTATCCCCCTTCATTCAGAGCAGAAGTCCTAAATGACTACTGACAATACCTCAGAGAGTAGAATGAAACCACCAAACTATCTCAATTTCCTGACACAAAGGTTTTTGCATTTACAATCAAAGAATTGCTCCTTCTCTGTTGGTCAATTTCTTCATTGTGACACTCTTTCTTACACACCTCTTCAGTGAGTTTTTCCTCTCAATTTTTCCCTCTCTTTCTTATCTACTGAATCTGTTTTAATAACTTTAGGTTGTCTAATCATCCTTCAAAACTAAACTTCCACTCTTCCTCTATCACCCAACACATGACTAAATATTCAATGTTCCTTCCCCTTTACTTCCAAAACCTATCAACCTTCTCAGTTCCCTACTGAAAATGCCCCCCCTGGAGTCATTATCTCCACTTCAATAATCCTATAGATATTTTTCTTTCCTTATCTTGATGACCTTTTAGCACCCTTTCGTAGGTGTAACCACACCATTCTTGGAAAACAGTCTTTTCTCCTAGCCACTCTACCACTAAATTCTCTTTCTCTTACTTTTCTGAATTCTCTTTGGTTATCGTACTGCCCCTTTACTTTTTACATACTCTATAACTCTTCTCATAAACTCTTCTGTTCTCATTCATTTTTATCCTTAGACATGTTAAGCCAATCTTGCATGAGGCTTCAATCACTGTCAAACTAAGCATCTAACTTTGCCTTCTTTTCCAGTCACTTATCTTCAACTGCTTATTTCAAAGTTTACGTTGGATGTTTCACAAGCACATATGACAAGTATCAAATACAATTCATTACCATGCCACTTTTCACCTACTTTTCCTTCAGTGCTTCCAAGCTAAAATCAATCACTACTCTCTATCCCTAGGGCTATAATCCAAATCTAGATATTTTCTTATCCTGACAAACCATGTATCTGTAACCTGATATTCCCATTGCTTGTCTTCCAATGCCAGCGGTTGATATCTGACAGTGCCAAAGACATTTTGGTTATCACAACATGGGGAAGGGAAGCTACTGGAATTTGTGAGTACAAGACAAGGACATGCTGGTACTGCTGAACATCCTACAATGCACAGGATCATCCCCCATAACACTGAATTATCTGACACAACTTCAATAGTGCCATGGATGAGAAACCCTGATATCTACATGTTCCTTCTCTCTACGCCACTCTTCCTCTCTCCAAATTCCTCTTCATTTTCAGTTCTATCATTAAACATCACTTTCTGTGAAAAATTTCTTTAACCATTTAGAGTAAGTTAATTGGCTTTGTGCTCTGTTAACTACTTGCCCACCATGTTTTCCTGCTATAGTCTACAGGATTAAGTTTATCCACCAGCTCGTTTGTTCCCTAGAACCTGTAATATCATATGTCTAGTGCTTAATGTCTTGGTCATGAGTTTAAAAATAGAATTTTATTTTCTATTAAAATAAAAACAAATAGTTCTTTAAGCCTCAGTTCCTGAGCTATAAGTTAGCAATGTTAATACCTATTTTCCCTGCCTTAAAGTTACTAATGTTCAAATGACCTAAAGCACATGTAGGTTCCACTAATAGTCTCACATCAGAAACAAACTAAGGAGGTAACAGAAGTACCTTAATAGGTACTAATGATGAAGCAGTAGACTTGAGTAACATTTTCTTTTTGTCTACACAGCAAGGTTTGCATTACACAAGCTGTGTCAGCCCACTGCTCCCTAATACCACCAGCCTCATCAAAGTGGTAGAAAGAGAAATTATTTAAATTCAGTATTGATGTTACCTTCTGTCAACTGAAGTATATTTCTAAGTCAATATTTTTGCACTTTCACTGTTGTTTATCTAATAAAGAGCTATTATTTCATTGATAAAAAAGCAATCTGCAGGATTTTATTATGTAATTAACCATTAACTGTATTAAAAGCACTAGTGGAAAGGAATGGTCATTTCATGGGTTGGGGGCTTTATATTATTTCTGGAGATAATAAGCTTGCATCATTTCACCAAACTAATGGAGTTACAATTAACCTCATTTCACTAAACTAATGGAGTTACAATCTGGAGTGGTCCAGATTTACAACACAACACATTGTCATGTGCCCTTAGCTCTACGGCCCCTCTTTTAATGATTAGTTAACTTGAGGATAATGAAGGCCTTATCATGTGCCTAATTAGCCATGCTGTCCCTAATGGTAGTCTAACTCATTTAGATAAAGTCAGTTTGCTGATCTGTTCCTTGGTTGGGGGTCAAGAGGATGGGGAGAGTCTAGTGAGAAAGAGAGAGAAAAAAAGAGAGAGAGAGTGTGTGGATGTTAGATGTGTATACATGCTTCTTTCCTAGATTCCCACTTCACCTTCACCCCCCACTGCAGAAGATATCAGCAAATTATATCTACACACAACACACTCATACACACACACATACACACACAGTGTTAAGACAAACCAGAGCATAATTTTTGGGCCTCCTGATAACTATTAAAGATTTTGTCCAAATAAGTACATTCCAAGTATATTTTTTGTTTATATTTAAGTGGAAGTATATATTCTAAGTATATTTTTTGTTTATATTTAGGTGGAAATTTCTTGATTCAGTAATGGCCTTTTTCTATCCTATCTTAGGTATCTTAGATATCTTAGGTAACTGATATTAGGTAATGATAATTGAAAAACTACCTCTCTTCTGTTAATTTGGAAGTTGTTCAGTAGGTCCATATAAAGATTCATTAGTTACTTCAAATCTACCTTAGCTTGCTCTGTGAAGTTCTCATTCAAGAAACTCAACAATATTTATATCTATATTTGCCAACAAGGAAGATTAACATTTATTTTTCAGCTTGCAGCATATGTTACAGCAAAAGTAATATCAAAAAGAAAATCCTTACCTCATTCTTCAGCTTGCTCCCAGAAAACCTGAAAAAGCAGTAAAATTTTCATTAGTTAAAAAAGAAAAATATATACGTGTGTGTGTGCATATACAGTTATACAGTTATAGCAATCATGGAAATGACTGGAAAAAGTAACAACTTAACATCATGATTAGTGAAGTAAACCTGGAGAAATTTGTTTAATTTTTCAAAGGAATTCAGGTAACTTTCTCAACTCACAAAATACATCTATTAAAGGAAAGAAAAACAAAGAACATATAGGAAAGCAGATAAGATTTGAGGCAAGAAATAAAAAACAGTTGATATGAAATATTTGTATGTTCTGTTCTGTATTCTCACTTTATAATAGTTACTAATAAGCTGCTATTAGTTTCTTTATAATATCTGGATTCATTTATTATGACTCAAATGATTCTTTTTCCATAAGAAACTTTAAAAAAAAAATAAGTTATAGGCTCTCCCTGGTGGTGCAATGGGTTAAAGCACCACATTGTGAAGCTCTCCGTAGCTACTGCAGCATGAGTTCCATCCCCAGCCAGGCAGCTGACCCACATGACACAGCAGACCTCTCCTGACCCACCCATCGCTCCCCTCAGCAGTGTTTTTCAGTACATCTGCCTGTTTTGTTCTGTCTCTGGTGAATCCTCTCACCCACCACACCTCTGGCCTGTACCCCAGTTCTGTAAGCATAAATAAATAAATCTTTAAAAAATGATTTATGTTTTTGAATACTAAGAACAGTTCTTGGTAAACTGTATTATAAAGCAGTGTCTGGTGCAGATTATTTATTTAGTGCGCCAGTATTTTTGTTTATCATTGCTTTCAGTGGATGCTACCTCATTTGTCAATAACCTCCGCCTTATAGCTAATGGCAAATTAGGACAACTTGTTCTTTATTTTCTTTTGTTTTCTTTTTCATAGAGAAACAGGTCAGTAGATTCATCTTATTAAGGTAAACTTGTATTCAATCTATATGTGATTAGAGATGCTTATAATAAATTTTCTGTTTTTGTAAGATAATTATTAAGCACATATATCTTTCAAACAGGTTATCCATTAGAAAAAATTTACATTTTTTGCCTTCATTGATTTCACCCAGCCTTACTCATAACTAATTTAAATGCTACTCTGCTTCCCTGATTTCTACTCATTTTATTGGGACACCTAGCTAAACATTAATTTCTCATTAATGATGCAAAATTACAGAAATTGCCCAGTATCAGACCCTATCTTTGTAAATGTCCATACAAGGATGAAATTAAGGTCTTATGCTTAAAAGAAAACATTTCAAGGAAAACTTAGTAAGTAATTTTATTCTATAGATGCTATGAAAATTGACAGAAATGCAGTTATCTTTTCTTAAAAATAGTGAAACTCTACCTTGTCAGGCCCTTTCCAGAATAAACGGAGTGGTAATAGGCACTGCTCTCTTTGATGCCAATCCCATAATAATGATACCTAAAGCAAGGACAGGAACGAGCTCTGCATTAATGAAGTCATTTAAAGGGAAAGACACTAAATTATAATTGAAACAAACTTCAGGTAAGAACTACAATTTCTTGGTCACCTTATTTTCCTGATTTCTTTTCAAGTAGCAGGCATTTAAAAGTAGGCAATTAAATTTGTAAATGTAGACATTGGTTCTAAGTGTATCAAACATACCTATTTGTAAATTGCTTGTTTAATCTGTAGTTAATTAAACAAGAATGTTATAGATTTTATCTACTGGGTGGTGAAAAGTCTATGACATTTTGTGTGAGAAGGACACTGATGTCATGCACAGGAATATATATGGAACCTCTGACCTTTTAAAAGTTTGGTGGAGGATTTCAGGGGCACTGGTGATGGACAATGTGTACAAGAACCCTTTTGTAGAGGTTTGAACCTATAATCCCCAAGCAAACACAAAGAAGTAAACATAATAAACACAAGTTGGGGAAAAATGCAATGATTGAAGATTACTTGAAACTGACTTCCTCCAAAGTACCTAAAGCAACTTGTAAGAAAATAACTTTTTGAATTAAACTGGATCCCCCATAATAATAAATTTGTGTCAGTCTAGTAAAGTTATTAGTTTTAGTTAATAACTTTAATTAGTTTAATTAAACTTATTTTCTTATGAGGATGAGTTTTACTCCTTATCATTCATTTTCTTCTCAAATTGCTGTGCAAAAAGGGAAAAACTGCTATGAACAGATGAAAATAGCACCTATGAGGTGGAAGTGTTACAAACAGTTGATTACAACGTGTGTAAGGATTCTGAGTCACAGACCATTCCAGCATCCCTCAGAGTCTCAAAATGTAACTTATCTCCCAAACTGTAGACTCTGATATTATGCACCCAAGTAGAAATGCCATGAGTGTACAAAAACTAGTAAAATAATGGGTATTTTCATGAAGACGGCCAAAAGTCTACTAACTTCTGCTTTTGCTTTCCCTGTCTCTGTTGTAGCATTGTTATCAACTTGGTTATCATTCATAATGAGGGAAGGAATAAAACAAAAGAAAGGGGGTTTTCACTGGGCCCTTACAGTGGGAGGGCCAGTGTAACTACATCTAAAGTTTCATGACTTAATACTTTCATTAAAGTAAGGCAATGATGGAACTAAGTTTCAACATCCCTCTTCTAACTTCAGCAATAAAGAAGGGAATTCACCAAACAATTCCATCCAGAAATGTTTTTAAAGCCCAGAAGGAAGTACAGATAAAGGCTTATGGAGATTTAAATATAAAAATATAAATCAAGCTAAAAGAAAAACCCTGTTACTAATCTTGATAAGTTACCTGGTAGGTATGTTTGAGTTTAGAATTTTTAGATTTTGGATTTCTGTGAAGGAACAGGCAACAGAAGAGTGACACCACCACCTCCATTTTCATCCAGGCCCAATTCTTTGTTCACAGTGAGGAGCCTCTTGTGAAAGAACAACCTCCACAGCCAAGATCCACCCCCAACACAGATCTCCCTATGGGTGCTCTTTAGTCTATGCATATGGTGGGGTAGCCAACTGAGAATACCACACAGGTTCAGGAGATGGCCTGGTCATTTTGAAGAGGGATTTTTCAGATGTATTTTATCATAGTGGACTGAGACCTGGACTAAGATCTAGAAGGAAGACACATCACTCAAGCAATAGACTCCTTCTCTCTAGCAGAGAGGCTAATTGGGGGGAGGGCCAGAACAGAGTCCTCTAAAGTGTGAGGCCCAGGATGGGCTCTCTCTTTCTTAGGTGCTAAGGGCAGTGGTATAGCAGAAAAGAGCCTCTAAAGATTCTTAGCCCCTTGAGATTGGGAGGAAAGGCCTTTTAAATATTTCATATATATTTGAATATTAATTCATATATATATATATATATATATATGTTTCCAAAAGAGTAATGGGGAATGATCAAGGTAAATGAAGCTACTTTGTGATTCTGGAAGACAGGGGAATAGTTTCAAGTACTCAGTTTTGGTAGAAGGACAATCGTAGTCTCCAGACCTGACAGAGAGGCTCACACCGGTGCCATTTCTATAATTCAGAAAAGAGATGGATGGAAAAAAGAACCTCTAAGGTGTGTTCGACCAAAGGAAGAAATATGAAAGTATGGAAACCAAAATATTGTACAGATTTTTTTTCTAATTAGAAAAAAGAAAGAAGTAAACTTCTTAAAGTTATAAAGACTTTGCTGAAAACAGTTATATTAATAGAAATAGATGTATTAAAAGAAATAGAAGGGAAATACCTATAAATAATGGAAAAATGAGAAGATGTAGATTATATTAAGCCAAGTATATTAAAATCATTAGTAAACCTAACTAGTAAAATAACTTATAAAACTAAGACCCTGAAATAACTATTAATATTTCCTTTGTTAGATGTTAGAACTAAGAAACCAAGAGAATTTCTTCATAGTAAAAGAAATAAAGCAATGAATGTTTGGGAATCAGGAATTAATTACAATGGTACTATATTAAAATTAAATGTTCTTTTGCAAAGATTACTGTTTGTTCTATAAACATTATAGTTTAACCATTATTTTAGCTACTTGTTGAATCAATATATCTTAAACATTGACTTAAAGTTTATAATATTCTGTAACTTCCATATTATTTCTCAGCTATGATCCCTTTATTAATTATAAATATTAAACCACAGGAAAGTGGCTTGTCATGCAGATTGAGAACAATTATATGCCCTTCCCAGGTGGGAGGCAAAAATCTGAGTCAAAGATATGATCTGAGATCACAAATACTAGAATGCCTGCTGTATCCTACCCACTGTGCTAGGTATCAGCGCAATCATGGGAAAACTCTAACCTGGACAGTCAGGTGAGCTACACATGTACTTTTGAGTTGCACCCTCGCCCATGGCTTTCTGAGTCAGTCTGCTTACTGATCAAGGAACAGCAGTCAGCTTCACCAGCCTGGGAGTTCATTTACTTCCATGTTGCAAAGCCACCAGATGGTCACAGTTTTAAAACAACATTCTTTAAGACTGATAAATGCTGACCCATGTGGATTTACAATTTTTTGGAAACATTCTCTTCAATTATTTGGGCAAAATATCTTTTTAAATAGAAGTATTAAATACCTCCAGCTACATTCACAGTCAAGTTTTTTCATTTATTACCCTCCCAAAAGCTCACTTAAAGTCATGTGTGTATTTTATTTTATTCACAGGTCAAATGCAAGTGGCACTGTCAACCAGACACTCAGGTGTATCTCAAGGAAAGTGACTTGTCAGTTATATTCCAGTTTATAAATGAGAAACAGCATGTCTTCTTATAAGTAATACCTAGACTTTAGAAATGTAGATGTAATTAAGTGTATCTTATCAATATAACCTTATAACTGTGCCAAGTAGTAGGGAATCAGCCATGTCTTCAGTCCCTAGTGAGTAAAAGCATGCAAAATGAGAACTGTAATACCAAAGGAACATATGCTAAAATTAAAGCCAGGAGTTGGTAATAACAGAACTAATTACCACTTATTGAGCACCTATTATAGAGAAGGCTGAGTTTTCTGTTTTCTTTTCTATCACCACATTATCCCTTAGAATTTACTAGATGAGTCAATATATACTGCTAGGAACTTGGAAATGGTTAAAAAACAAACTCTTATTAAGATATACAATGGTGTTTTCAATAACCATCACTTGACACAGTGCATTCCCAGGTCGCCAATGAAATACTGGGGCTGAACAAAAGTGTGTGTCCAAACAATTTATATAAGGGATATGAAATCAATGCATTTGGGCAGAAAACAAATGTTGTTAAAAAATAAAAATCTCAGTGTCCTACCTCTGTATGGACTTTGCCATGGCTCTTACAGCACAATTCATATCCAGTTTCTTCTGGAGTCAATAAAATAATCTTTCCCTTTTACTCTTCTCATTAGCCTAACTAGGTACATGTATCATCTGAGTGATGACTTAGTGTCTTTGAGAGAGAAGAGATTATATATGAGCAGCTCTCTGTCTCACAGCTAAAGACAAAGGTCATAAAACTGCAGAGAGTAATTTCATGCAAAGGATACATAGATTTTTTTCATTTCACTTGCAACAACTTACAGCATTGTTTTGTTGTTAATACATCTCCCTAAAATAAATCTTGCTATGAAATATTTGCCAGATATACTTCAACATATAAGAACACATGCTAGTACATGTTAGATGAAAGAGGTTTTCGGCCATAGCACAGATAACTTGTTTTATTTTATATACCTTATGCCTATACTGAAGTTTACTCTGAAGAAAAAATTTCCAAGCATGTCAGTTATTTTCTTTTTAAATACAAAAAAAAAAAACTTCACTGGGTATGATTCTTTAAGAAAATGTTTACATAATGCAAGTACTCTTTGTGATAATTTAACAAAACTGTTCATTCAGTAACATAACTGTCTTAGCCCCATGTCAAGAAACAAGATATTTACAGTTTAGGAGTAAAGAAGAATTATTATTTTTTATATACACGTTAAAGTGAACACATTATAAAATATAAGATTTTAATAGGACAGTAAAATTATTGCTGTTTTCACTACTAAAATATTTACATTGTGTCTAACACTTTCCTTCATTTCTGACCAATTTATACCTGCACCTTATTTCTTCTTTTCCATTTCAGACATTACATAGAATTCCTGAAACATATGTTCCTCCTGAGCTAGCAGCCCTGATGTCAGTTTACACTACACAAATGATAACTGATAAGGAAATGATGGGATTAAGCTGTTCAGGGACTTGCAATAACTTACTATGATAAGAGCAGCTGCCATATCAGTTTTATTAACCCACTAAATCACTACTAATAAATAAGATAATAGCTTTTGTCCTTCGTGTCTGAAAACCAAGATTCAACGGATCAAAGTCTACAAGAAATTAAAATGTAACTTCAAATCAAACAGTCTACCAAGTGCATGAAATCTATTCAGTGGGTTCCACTGTGTCTTTCCTCACTCTGCTGAGCTATTGAGAGCAGGTG